CTTCGGGAACCCGTGCATTCTGGTCTCTCGCCAAGGCTGTTCAACGGAATTTCTGTAAGCCATCACTACCATCTCTGCACAGGGAGGACGACTCACTGGCCCAAGCCGCAAAAGACAAAGCTGACCTTTTAGGCTCCCTTTTTGCGTCCAAATCGACTCTTAATGACGGGGGGGAAACACCGCCGACCATTCCGCGGTGTGAGAGCACTGGTGATGCTTTATACACCGGCCGTGCCAATATTTCTCGGGAAAACGTCGCTGAGTACCGGAACAAACTTGTGTCTGAAGTCGAGTCTTTGCTGAACAAAGTCTCGGATTGGGGCGATTAAATTTAGTCCAGTTTAATCCTCAGAAGACACAAGTTTGCGCGTTTACCGCTAAAAAGAACCCCTTTGTCGTATCTTCTCAGTTTCAAGGCACTCCCCTTCTTGCCTCAGCCAGTATCGGAATCCTCGGAGTCGATATATATATCGAGTGACGTGCAGTTTCGTGGAAGAGAAGGCCAAATTGGCCTCTAAAAAGCCTGGCGTGGTCAGCAGAGCGGGACAGTATTTCATGCCGGCACACCACCTGCAACTTTACAAGGCGCAGGTTCGCCCTCACATGGAATACTGTTCCTATCTCTGGGCAGGGGCTCCCCAGTGCCAGCTCCTTCCACTTGACCGCATCCAGCGCAGAGCAGCTCGAATCGTCGACGATCTTGTCCTTTCCGATCGGCTCGATTCATTGGCACTGCGAAGAGATGTTGCATCCCTTTGCATTTTCTTTCGCATTTACCACGGGGAGTGCTCTGATGAATTGTTCGGATTAACTCCAGCCGCCAAATTTCACGAACCACACCATCTGGATGATTGGCGGTCCACCACTGTGCGATTTAGAAGATGATTTCTTCCTCGCACGACTTCCTTGTGGAATCGATTACCATCGGCGATTTTTCCGTACCGATACGACTTAGGGACCTTCAAGAAAAGAGCCTACTCCTTTTTAAAAGTCCGGCAACGCATCTGCAATTCCCCTGGTGTTGCGGTTGTTCATGGGCGGCGGTAGTCACTTACCATCAGGTGAGCCGCATGCTCGTTTGCCCCGTCTCCTATAAAAAAAAACATCATGTGGACTGTGTGCTCGTTTGTCACCCTATCATATAAAAAAATGTAATTAGCCCCATGAGCTTAATATAAGCCAGTTATTACAGACAAGTCACTTCAATTTTATTTATATTATTTATCTATAATATTATTTTATTTAGATTCTTTATCTTTTTATTTAACGCGTATTTTTAAACCAATAACTGTCAATACATTCCAATAAACCACGTTCACGCGTAATAAAACTCTAAAAGCGAAATATCAAAATATATATTGCGTTAAAAGCAGTCGCTTTTGTGACGCGCACCGCAAAGTGGCGAATATTTGGCACAAGTATGAAACAACGAAATTCCGCAGCGGAATCCGGTCTCCACATCAAAGGGGAGGATAAACCGTTTTGAAATAAAACACCGAAGTGTTTTCGGTATCGTAATTGTTTGCTTTAAATTGTGTTTATACAAAGCGAGTTCAGGTGTCAAGGACAGGATTTTGCACATACTCATGTAACTCTTGAAATAGTTTTCAATTTAGTTTCCTATTTGCCTAGCTTAGGCATCAGTCTCCCACAGTATAACCACAGAATAAACAATAGTACTACGTAGTATAACATTGAGGCGTAATACTTTAATGTTATGTGCAATAATTATGTAATATTGTGGTGAGAAAATAAATCGTAATTAGTATTATTAAATTATTATTATTATTTATTATTATTATCAAACTATATAGTCTGCCATGCCTTGTCTAGTGTCTTACTACGAATTTACTTTTTAAAGTTTGTTCTTATTTCATCTTCTTTACAGTCTATCAAAAGTCAACTGCTAAACATAGGATTCCCCATTAGATTGCCTCTATGGGGATAGTATCCATAGTTTCAGCACTTGGAAAGCGGGTTGGCGAACACAGTATTGACGCGAATAATTCTTAAAATTTACTTTCATAGTGCTCGCAGAGTTCAGAAAACTGATGATAACAAAATCATGGGACATAGTTTAGTGTGGCAGCTACATAACTATCATATATATCCAAAATTTAATTAAATACACCAATCAATAGCTAAAGGATCAAAGAATTCATTACGTTGAATGAGAACTGTGATAGCGCCGCCATTTTCAGGTCGTTTGGTTACGTACACGTATTCACGTAAAACACACGGCCGCGTCTACCACACAGCCACACCCCAATTTTCGGAACGAAGTTCTTTAAAGATCGGACTGTGGCTAGGCGACAAAAAGTGTAAGATTTTTTCGTCACGATCCCTTCTGACGTAGTGTAGACGGCCTTGGTGGCTAGAAGGAAGTGAGATAGAATTATGTGCATCTCCCTCGCACTTTTTCTTATCTTGCCATGAAAGAAATATATTATTTTAAATGACGCTTAATTTTAATAGACGCTAGTATGTAATTCATTTATTTGTATTTGTTAATCAATAATATAATACGTTTATCAACAATAATATACTACGAATGGAACTTCGTTCCAACCGAGTGTTACACGACACTCACGCATGTTTTTATTCCTAACATTGTTATGAAATTAAATGAAATATCATTATTTCTTCGACGTAGAAAAATATATTTCGTATGGCAATGCCTTTTTTCTGCCGATTTTAAAAAGGATAAGGTACTCAATTAGTCTGTGGTTTTTTTATGTGTGTTACCTCATAACTTTACGTGGTAGAGCCATGCTGCAGCTATATTAGTAGTATAGTTGTAGCACGAATGGGTGGGCTCGACCGGGGAAGGACCACGCTCTCACAGAAAACCAGCGTAAAATAGCAGCTTAACGCTGCTGTGTTTCGTATGGTGAGTGTAGAGAACCGGAGACCCTTTTTACTGGCAAAGAGACATTCCATCTTAGTCCTCACAGGCGACAACCCATCTGCATCTTGAGTCTTTATTGAGGATAGACGTAGATGTCTATGGGTCACAGTAACCACTTACCATCAGGTGGACTGTGTGCTCGTTTGTCATCCTATCCTATAAAAAAAAACTTTTTACTGGGTGAACCGATTTCGATGATTCTTTTTTATTTGAAAGCTGGTACTTCACATGTGGTTCCATATGAGTTTGATCAAGATCAGACCAACAGCTTTTGAGTTATTCTTAATAATTTATATTGAAGTCGGCTGTACAAAATTTTAAATTATTAACCTACTAAAACTGATATTATCAGGAAGATCCACTGCCCATCTCCTGGTTTGTTTCCCTTTGTCGCCTCTTATGACATGCATGAGACGATATCAGGCTAGTGCCAAACGTGGCAAGTATAACAAAACCTATAAGATAATAAATATATGGGGGGCGCCTATGTTCACCAGTGGACGTTTGCAGGCTGTAATGGATGGATGAGGACTCCAATTCCAATTAGGAATCCGTTTGAGTAAACACTGTACTCTAGCCAGTATAATTCCAGGCTGTAAGGCATACCATCTTAGTCCTCAGAGGTGATATCGCAACTCTAGCGTTTGTTTGAAGGTGTCCGTGGACTACAGTAGCCACTATCCATCAGGTGGATTGTAAGTACGGTTGGTCGCTTCAATTTTATAACAAATGTCATTTCCATTTTTAAATCATTGTAGCTAAAACAAGGGAAATTAAAAACAAATTGTATTCAATTTTTGATATTCTATACAAAGTTTTTTCATATTTCTAACTCATCGGGAAATTAGTTTTTTTTTATAGGATAGGGTGACAAACGAGCACATAGTCCACCTGATGGTAAGTGGTTACTGAGACCCATAGACATCTACATCTATCTTCGATGAAGAATTAAAATGCAGATACGTTATCACCCGTGAAGACTAAAATGGGATGCCTCTTTTCCAGTAAAAGGGTAACTCACAATACGAAACACAGCAGCGTTAAGCTGCTATTTTACGCTGGTATTCTGTGAGAGCGTGGTCCTTCCCCGGTCGAGCCGACCCATTCGTGCTACAACTATACTACTAATATAGCTGCAGCATGGCTCTATCGCGTAAAATATATATTTGAGCTCCGAAAATATGATCACATCTCTAATTATAGTGAACGCCTGAAATGACTCACTATCCGATAAAGACGAAACTCTAGAATTCTGCTTGTGCTTTTCCCAATTTTGAATAATTCAACTTGTCCAACAGTTCTCAAGGACAAGTCCATTGCTAAACATGCCTCCTATAAGGAGATGTTTTGATTGATAATTTAACAATTTCAAGTCGATGGTGTGCACAATAAGGTATTTCACGAATCAGTTCCAAAAATCAAATAAAAGTACCTGGGGGACCGAATTTGGCTCGGCGTCAGAAAAAAAAATTCTCGGAGATTACACCTCTTCTTGATATACTTGAAAAGTAACAGTAAAAAAAGCCGTAACACATACATACATTTATATATACTATATTTGGCGTTTATTTTTATGTTAATTATTCAAAAAAGTATTAAAAAGGTTTAATTTTTTATCGATAAAACAATTTTCTACTTTAAAAATACTGTAATAAAACATTTTTCGAGCAAAACTTTGACGACACGGATGAAAAGTAAGCCGTAAAAGTGTACATAACTCAGCAAAACAAACAGTTTTGTGTAAACGTTTGTGCTAGAATACTGAGAATCTCATTATAAACATTTAAATATTAACTACATTGCTGGATTTGAAGTAGCGCACTACGGTACTACAAGATCCGTGTAGCTCAGGAGATAGGCGCTTAAATTTCACAATACGTGAGCAACACGGTTTCAATCCCCGAAAGCACAAATGAAAGAATGAACAAGTGTTAAGAAGTAATCTATATTTCATAAATAAATAATTGATTTACTTAGAATTATATCTACTTATTAAATAGTTAAATATTTACAATATTCACATTTTAATATTGTGTTATTCGTAAATAAGATCTATGCAACAGCACCGACAAGTTGGTTAACAGCAAGATTTTTAAACTGGTTCAGTTCGTAGCACAAGCGCTTCACCTGCCTGCAGAGTTATCTCTTCTTGATTTATGATATCCCTGTAACAATTTAATTAAAAAATTCAGTTAAATTAAATATTAATAACAACTATTTACGCCTATGTGGTAGCCATGCTGCAGCTATATTATAGTTGTAACACAAATGGGTTGACTTGACCGGAGAAGTTAATGCTGCCGTGTTTCGTATGGGGATTGTTGAGAAACGTAGATATTTCTTTTTTACTGGAAACGAGGCAGTCTATTAGTCCTAAGGGGTGGAAACCCCTTTTTTGATTTTTAATTGAGGATATATGTAGATGTCTATGGACCACAGTAAGCACTTACAATCAGGTGGACTGTGTGCTCGTTTGTCACGCTTATACTATAAAAAAATCATTTAAGTTTAGGGAGATAATAAGTGTACTGTAAAATAAAGAAAAAAATAATACGCACAGTAAAAATGAAATTTCAAATCCAAGCCACTATAATTTGAGAGACCTGTGTCTAGCAGTGGTCCACTGTGTATGAAGGCGAAGGATGTTGTACAAGTCGCGGGACGTATTAATCGATAGTAAGTGTTGAATCAGACAAACAGTTACCTACTTACAAAAACACGTATGTCAAGATTTTACTCACCCCGCTATTCTAGTTGAATGCACACTAGAAATATACACAGTGGCAGGTAGTTTTAAATGTGCAACCCTGTCCAGTGGAATGACGTCAGACACTTTGCCAACGTTGAACAATAGAACAAACGTGTCGTAAGAGCGCAGACTCCTCACGAGGTATAGCGTCCGGTCTGATAACGCTCTAATGTCGTATTCACCGTACGCTAAAGTCTTTTCTTTGCGGAGAGCCGTCAGCGATTGGTACACCTGAAAAGAAAAATGTGTTGAGACATTTTATGCATTTTTGACTAAATAATTTTGTTCGAAACTGTTCAGAGACAAATCGATCGTATGAACTAGATATTGTTAATGCCTTAGAGTTCACCAGATGATTAGTGACCGCCAATACAGTTTTCGGACTTATAGATGGGCGGAGGCATTAGAGTCCAAGGGAGGAATTGGCCGTTAATTTAGACATAGCGAAGGCCTTCGATCGGGTCTGGCACTAAGCGCTTCTTTCAAAGCTCCCTTGTTATGGGCTTCCCGAAAAATAACGCAATTGGATCACTAGTTTCCTTGTTGATCCGAGCATCAAGTAAGTATGTGCGTACGGTGCAGGCTCTGAGTACAAGCCTATTAACGCTCGTGTTCCACAAGGCTGCATCACTGCTGCCAACATTCATTGCTATACAGAGGACAGCACTGGTGATACCTTATACACCGGTCGTGCCAATATTTCTCGGGAAAACGTTACTAAGTACCGGGATAAACTTGTGTCTGTAGTTTTTGCTGAACAAAGTCTCGCACTTGTGCACGCGCACTACACTAAGTCTGCTGTACAATACGTATAAACTTATTTAACTAATTTCAAGTGCGGTTTTCGAAAGATATATAATGTCTATAACTGTCTATATAGTTATATGGGTTACAAACTAAAATTGAATTCAAATGACGACCATGCTTATGTTTTCTTCACTTTTTTTTGTTTAAATTATTTATCCGAATGAGAATACACTACATAATTAAATTTAACAATCGAAAACTGAAAATATATATAAAAATAAAGTGTTACGAAAATATTTGGCAGTGCAACACTTGTAAATGTGTTTTTTTCTTCTTGTAGTAATACAAAATTATCTTGTTTGATAAATGTTTTTAACTTATAAGTAAGTACATAATGTTAATAAATTACAATAAGTATTATAATATTCAAAATTATTTTATTTCCATTTTCGTGAAAACTAGACAACTAAACCCCCTAGTATATACTTATACAATGCCGTCGCCCACGTAGGTATTTACACGGGCGGCGGCATCACCAAACATCAAAGGCACACAGTTTAAAGGTCTAACAGGGTTTCACAACTGTTAGATCTTTAAACTATGATAATACGTCTCTAGGCTTGTATTATTATGCCTCTAACAACAGCAATATGACACTTTTGAAAGTTAAAACTGAAAGTAAAATTACTGAGATGTTTTTGGATCAGTCGCTCTGAGGCAGTCTGTTTTAGCGTACTTCAACTCCAATGAATCAGCATATTCATATTTAAGCACAGTAGTATATCAGCCAAGTTCGGAAAAGGAAAGGGCGACGCAACAGCAGTGTCTTTATTTACATGAACTACCTATTTGAAGTTACTTTGGAAACCCCATAACTTGATTGAATTGAATGAATCTTGAATTCACACACTTGCAATTTAGCATAACTAATAAGGACCAATAGAATACAATGAATCCAATATATAAAATACATCTAAATATATAAAAGCGAAATTTCACTCACTCACTCATCACGAAATGTCAAAAAGTGATTGATATATAAAAATGAAATTTGGCAGGGAGGTACTTTATAGTTAGTAGACTTCTACTAAGAATGGATTTTGTGACAGGGCCGGATTAAGGAGGTCTAAGGGCTCTCGCAAGTTTGTATGAAATTTTTTAATTTTTTTTTGTGCTACAAACTTGAAAATTGTCTGGGAGGTAGTTAATAGTTAGTAAACGTTCGCTAAGAACGGATTTTGGGACAGGGCCGAATTAAGGAGGTTTAAGGGCTCTCGCAATTTTGTATGAAAGTCTTTAATTCTTTTTTGTGCTACAAACATGAAATTTGGCAGGGAGGTAGTTTATATTTAGTAGACGTCTACTAAGAACGTATTTTGTGACAGGGCCGGATAAAGGAGGTCTAAGGGCTCTCGCAAGTTTGTATGAAAGTCCTTCATATTTTTTTTTGTGCTACAAACTTGAAATTTGGCAGGGAGGTAGTTTATAGTTAAGAGACATCCGCTAAGAACGAATTTTGTGACAGGGCCGAATTAAGGAGGTTTAAGGGCTCTCGCAAGTTTGTCTGAAAGTCCTTAATTTTTTTGTGCTACAAACTTGATATTTGGCAGGGAGGTAGTTAATAGTTAGTAAACGTTCGCTAAGAACGGATTTTGCGACAGGGACGGATTAAAGAGTTCTAAGCACTCTCTCAAGTTTGTATGAAAGTTCTGATTTTTAATTGTACTACCGACATGAAATTTAGCAAGTCTAGAGTTTATAAGTAGGAGACATTAGCTAAGAAAAAATTTATGACAGCCTGGACTAAGGGCTCTCGCAAGTTCACATGAAATACTTGGTATTTTCGTACCTGAAAATTGGTAGAGAGATAGAATATAGTTGAGACATGTCAAGTAGGAACAAATTCTACAACAGGGCTGGTTCAAGGTAATATAATCGTTTTCGCAATCCTATGTGTTCAACTAAGTGATACTAAGTAAAAAATGACTTTCAATAAGAATTACACATGTGATCTATATTGACTAAAAAATTATTCTATTCTATTCTATTCTATTCTACTCTATTCTACTCTATTCTACTCTATTCTACTCTATTCAACTCTATTCTACTCTATTCTACTCTATTCTACTCTACTCTACTCTACTCTACTCTACTCTACTCTACTCTACTCTACTCTTCTCTACTCTACTCTACTCTACTCTACTCTAATCTAATATACTCTACTCTATCCTACTCTACTCTACTCTACTCTACTCTACTCTATTCTATTATATGTACTATATGAAATAAATAAATAAATAAATATTCTAACATTTATTGGAGACTACAACAAACAGAAAATACAACTAAATTTAATTCAAACGAAGGTTGGTTTTTTTTTAATAATAATTACGTAGGTAAGTAGTTTTATAAAGCTTTTTTTTTTGTATTTTACTTAAAATAAAACTATAAATGTGGTGTATAGAGAGGTTTTACAAAAATAACAACATTTATAATGTTTCCTTATATTTACGCGAAGACAAACAATTTTTACGGATTATATCGCGTTTAATTTTTATTTTTTCTACTTTTTTTCACGACGTTTCGGGTGTTTTACAGCACCCATGGATTTAATTAAATTAATTAAATTAAATCCAAATCCAAGTATACCACTGCTAAGACTTCAAGATATTGTAAGCTCATTCTGCGTAAATCGAACCAAAAATTAATATTAAAAAACTGAAGGTAGCCAGGCTAACTATGACATCAGGACGTCAAACACCTCAGTGGATTTAATTAAATTAAATCCAAACCCAAGTATACCACTGCTAGACTTCAAGATACTGTTAGCTCATTCTGCGTAAATCGAACCAAAAATTAATGTTAAAAAACTGAAGGTATGACATTAGGACGTCAAACACCTCAGTCCCCCCAGTGACGCTGGAAACACCCGAAACGTCGGGAATTAAAAAAGTAAAAAAGTTAAAATTAAACGCGATATAATCCGTAAAAATTAGTTTCATTTAACAACATCTATGTTTTGCATGCCTTAAGCGAAAGCGCAAGGTATGTTCTACTATCGCCTAAAAATTAAGATTCCAACGTTTTATCGAATAAAATCGTATCTAGCAATATAAATGATATAAAAATCACATTGTTAGAAAGATAAATGATTGTTGAACTTACTAATATTTTTTTTAAATCGATTAATTGCTATTTTTAAATAAAAAAGGGGTTTTAGTGGCTTATGGTGTGGATTTATCATGTTCCCAAGGCTTGTAAACACGATAACTTTTGTAAAATATCAATTGTTTAACTCAATCTATTTTTTAATCTCTTCATCTATCATGTGGGAAGCCACTGAATGTAAATGGCAATGCTTGTAATTTTGTTTTGTTTAGCTATAATAAATTTTTTTCGGCTCCAAAATGGCGAAATTTTCGTTGATTTGGTAGTCTTCTGTAAGTAGGGAGCTACAGCCACAGAGTACCTTAATCACTCACTCAGTCAGTTCGGCGCACAGAATACTTTTTATATACTGAAAGTTCGGCGTCAGTCGCCGTCGTGAGTGGATATTGTTTCGGTTGTTTGCAGCGGCTCAAAAAGATCGCTGTACAAATACGCAATATTCGAATAACCAAATTTCTGAAATACTTGATTATAATAATAATAAGAGATTTTTTTTATTACAATATTTTAAAGCACAGAATAAAGAATAGTAGTACCTACGTACTAAATGTAAGTAGTATAAATTGTTTTGTCATGGGTGACATTTTCATGGTTTTCGAGGGTGTTGAAACCGATAGGGTTGTCGAAATGTAAATCCAAGATGGCGGCCGCAATAGGTATAAATTTTTTCATCATGGGTGTCATTTTCATGGTTTTTGAGGGTGTTGAAGCCGATAGTGCTGTCCAAATGTATTTAAACTACTTTAAAAAATCCGTATAATCATGTTATACGTAATTTTTTTAATATGCTTAAGGCATGCCCAATTGGATTTACCAATTTTTTTCCTAAATGGTACTTTAAAAAAAGGTGCTTAGTATGATAGACATTCTCTGTTGACTTAAATATAAAAATAGATTGCGTTAAATAACATTTAGTTTCATAGTACTTCATATCTTTACAACCACACGGACGAAGTCGCGGGTAACAGCTAATCATTAATAAAATTATTTTCGTTCTTGAGTAATTAAGGTCTAAAAGTTACATTTTTATCATTCACTCATTTACTGAATCACTTATTAAAAACTTAGGCTACTTATACGTGACTAGAAACTTAAAATTTGGTATCAATCAAGATTATTAGGTAAACACAATGGGAAATAATATCTCAAAACATAAAGAAATATCGTTATTCGGTGTCGATAGGTGTTAATAGAGTTATTGGTGCGGTTATTTGTGTAAGTCATAGGATCTATAGGAATGCACAGCGTTCTTGGAACTGGCATATATCTTTGTACCGTTCAGATCACTACATTACTAAGCAGCGAAGTTTATTATTAAGTACACCAGTATACTTCAGTTTAAAGTTCATGATGATAGCAGTCAAGGAATAACACAAAAGTAATATCAAAAGGCACTGTATCCGAGACTACACATTTAAGTACATCAAACGTAAAAGTTTGGCAAGTTTAGAATTAAATTACACCATTGTATCATAAATAAATGAAATTAAAAAAAATGTCTTCATGATGCAGGAGTAAATACTAAAGTGAGGATGATTAAATTAAACAAAACAAAAAACTCAAACTATCACAAATATAAGAGGGGGCAAACGAGCCAGCCCACTTGATGGTAAGTGACTACTGCCGTCCAAGACCAACAGTAACACCAGGGGAATTGCAGATTTGTAGATGACCTTTTAAAAAATAGTAGGCTTATCCGTATGATATGATAATCTGATTGCAATAAACAAGCTTACCTTATAGTGACTCCTGGTGTCTTCTTTCTGTTTTGCAAGATTTATCTCTTTAAAATCATCGGCAACTGGCAACCAAGTTTTCTCTCCTGTTGAGAAACCGGCGTTCGTACTATTATTCCAGTGGTACGGTGTTCTGGCTGGATCTCTCGAATACAGCTGGTAGGTGTCCTCGTCGCCTCGGTTGCAGGCTTCTACATCTACCGTATCCTCCCAGCTTACGTGACCATCCCTCATTCCGATTTCTTCACCTTGGTACGTGACAGCCACCCCAGGTAGTAACATGTTGAGGGCGTTAAGGCCGTCCACCATATTGTGTCGGAATCGTGTCGGCATTCTGTTATTGTCATGGTTGCCGAACTGCAAAGGTGTTTAATAATTGATTAATATTTACCAATTTTTTATAAGTCACTTTCTTGTCTGTGTAAATTTAAACTAACTTCCCGGTAACATATAGGATTGAAACTTTAAAAATTGTTCAAAACTGGATTTCAACGTAATACAAAATTTTTGTCTGCCTTGTCTGTCTGTTCGTTTGTTTTGATTGCGAGCATTTACTTAGAATTAATTGTACGTCGGGACAATGTTAATATTATTTTTTAAAGAATAAGTTGACATCTTTCCTCGACTTCTGAGGGCTAAGATGGAATGTTTAGTTTCCAGTAAAGTGAGTCTCCGGTTCTTTACATTCACCATACGAAACACAGCATTAAGGTGAGCAAGAGCGTGGTCCTTTCTCAGTCGAGCTGGCACATTCGTGCTACAACTACACTAAATCTGCAACAAGGTTCTACCACGTAATAATAGATAAAATAAAGAAGAAAGTACACTTACCACCCAGTTGGGAACACCCCCATGTGGCATGTACGTTAGCCATCTAAGAATAACGTAAACAAAGTCTCTGGCGTTGGACTTGGCTGATAGGTCAGTGATGAAATCGAAGTTGAAGGGAAAGTGAGCGCCGGTCTCGCCATCTTCGTTGCCGTAGTACAGCATTGTCATTGTCACATTTGCGTAGCCTTCAGAGAAAAGTACCCTAAAGTTATAAAATTTTCATTTTATTTTATTGTACACTAGCTGTACTTCGCAATTTCGCCCGCGTGTAATTTGGTTTTATTTTTTTTTTTCACGAAACCTTAAATTTTTTCTAAAATAAAAGTAACTTAAGTTAATCCTTATAACATAGGCTATCTACTAGTTAAAAGTCCCGTCAAAATCAGTCCAGCCGTTTCTGAGATTAGCCGGAACAAACAGACAGACAGATAGACAGGCAGACAAAATTGTGTTTTTTTCACATGCATTTAGTGAAAACCTGTTATTTTTATATTATAATCAGACATTTCACTTTTATTTGTTTGTATAGATATATTATGAATATTCAATGATTTAAGTAACAGATATTCTTCTTCATTAGCACGTTAAAGTCCGTCACTGGACACGGCACTCTCCCGTATAAGGGATTTGCCTAAATCGTCACGTATGGCAGGTGGATTGGTAATTGTAGAAGCAGATCGCATCTACCGAAAGCCATAAATTTTTCCGGCTTTGGCTGACTCCCGCAGTCACCACTCGACACCCATAGAACGAAATGGGGCGACGGTTTGGATTATCTTATGCCGCTTCAGCGCGCCAAAATTTAAACATACTGGCCGATAAAAAATAAAAATAAGAATTTTATTTCTCATTCATTTTAAATTAGCATCAGGGCGGTAATGAAAAGTAATGAATGAACAAATCATTTATTCGTTACACACGCCACACGCTAACTTAAAAAGGAATTAAAACAATAAACAAAAGAAAAGGTGGCAGCAACGAAAAGGCTTCTGACTCAGTATGATGCTGTTGCAGTTTTGCCAAGGGCACATCACTGTTACTCGGTGTCTCATATTAGCGATTAATTGTCGGACATATTTCTGTTACCATAGATAATTAAATAAGGCTCATATTACTGTTACCATAGACAATTAAATAAAGTGAGTGAAATTATAATATTTAAACAATTAAGTTACAATCTAATAATAATATAATAATTTGGACGCCAATATAGTTATAAATATTTTTCAAAAACGAGCAGCTATACACATACTGTAGCTATTATCAAAAAATTACTGGGAGGCACAATATACTTTCAGAATACTTGAACACGGAGTGGGAGAATTTTTCCTAAAGAAGTTAGGACGGGGCTTCTATTAAACCGATGATAATATTGTCAAATGAAGATAAAGATATTATGTCAAATAATTAGAGAGCAGTTGTTAGACATTTTCTGTTACCATAGATAGTAAAATAAAATTAGTTAAATAATAATACTAAATCAATTATGTTAAAATTTAATGAACAGACAGTTTCTAATAATATTATGCTGTAACTAACCGTGTGTCACCGCCGTTATCTTCGAGGTACCTATCTACAAACTCTCTCCATTCGTAGACGATATCATACAATTCAATCAAATCTTTAGTGTAAAGCGGAATTGTATATCCCAATTGATGTGGCTCGAAATTAATTATTCCACTGAGGGGGTCATCTGGGTACGTGCCGTTGTGGTCGGCAGGATCAGCTTCTATTAAATAGGGTAAGGCGTCGACTCTAAATCCGTCTGCTCCTTTGTCGAGCCAGAATTTCATGATTTTGAACATTTCATTTCTAACGGCGGGATTTCTGTAATTGAAGTCAGCCTGTTCTACCGCAAACTGGTGGAGGTAGAACTGCTGACGAGTATTACTCCACTCCCACGTTGATCCTCCAAATTGACTTACCTGTAAATGTATGTTGCATTAATTTAACACCACTTAAACACCTGTATTATATCCTGTACTATAAGAAATCATTCTTTTATTATATATTTAAAACACATATGTATTTAATTTCTCGGAAACGGCTCTACGATTTAGATGAACTAATATTGTATATACTATATAGCTTATCATTTAGTAAAATAATGTTTTATTTATTTTTTATAGGATAAGGGTGACAAACGAGCACACAGTCCACCTGATGGTAAGTGGTTGCTGCGGCCCATAGACATCTACATCTATCCTCTGTTACAAATCAAAATGTAGATGCGTTGTCACCCGTGAGGACTAAGATGGAATGCCTCATTTCCAGTAAAAAGGGCCTCCGGCCACCTGAACTCACCAAGCGAAACGCAGAGGTAAACCTCTACTTCACGCTGGTTTCCTGTGAGGTCGTGGTACTACCCCGGTTCGAGCCGGCCCATCCGTGCGACAGCAAAAGCTGCCGCGTGGCTCTACCACTGTCCAAGTCCAATATGAATGAAATATATTTGTAATTATATTTATATTTATGGTTGTAGCAAGAATTGGTCGGCATGACCGGGAAACGACCACGCTCTCACAGGATACCGGCGTAAAATAGCAGCTTAATGCTGCTGTGTTCTATATAATGAGTGTAGAGAACCGGGGACTTTATTTATAGGAGAGAGGCAAACGAGCATACGACTCACCTGATGGTAAGTGATTACCGCCGCCCATGAACAACTGCAACACCAGGGGAACTGCAGTAGCGTTGCCGCTCTTTTCTTGAAGGTCCCTAAGTCGTATCGGTCCGGAAAAATCTCTGGTGGTAGTTGATTCCACAAGGAAGTTGTGCGAGGAAGAAAACTTATTGGACTTATTGTAATGGAAACAACGCACTCTATTTTAGTTCCTCAGGGGTGACAAGGAATCTGCATTTTGATTCTTGATTGAAGGTAGGTGTAGATGTCTATGAGGTAGTACACCCACATACTATCAGGTGGACTGTGTGCTCGTTTCCCACCCATATTTTGTAAGAAAGAAACATAAAAACAGTTGTAAATAAACTTACCCAGTTAGATGGTGGTCGCATAATACTGGCGTTGTTGGGATCAGGTCCAGGGGAGTCAGCCCATACGAAATAGTCTTCGTATCCGGGGACTCTTTTCTCTGAATTGATGAAGTACTCCGATTCCGTACTTGCATGATTTGGAACAAAGTCCAGCAATACTTTAATGCCTGTTTATAATATAATATTTTTAATTTATTCTCTAGAACATTAATACAATAATAATTTCCTCCAGACAGAATTTTGATCTCGCCGGCATTTTGGTCAATGGAGACTAGCAAGCGCAGAGCAGGATTAAACTAAGTTAACGAGCGTGTGTGCAAGCAATCACAGGCAGAGATTCTATTTCTTCTCTCATAGTCCGATGGGACGGCAATCTCACACGTCCGTAGAAAGATCAACGCCATAAACAACGGCTTTACGTGTTTTCTGAGGCACGAAGGTGAAACACCTCCTGACTCTCTAAACTACAGACTGATACTAAGAATTGCTTGACAGAAAACCCAATATCTGCTCTTAACTCGACCCAGGATTCGAACCTGAGATCAGTATTCCCGCTTACAACCATTGGACTAGGGAGACAGTAAAAAAATACATCTAGCACATCAAGAGGAACATTAACGTTAAAATTCTTAGTTTGGGCAAACGTGTGATGGCGGCATGAGGGAACCCATCAGCCCATTTCGTCCGATGGGTGTCGTAAGAAGCAACTATGGAATATGCCAAAGATCATGTGGTCTTCGATTAATGGTGGTTCAAAGCATCCCAGGTGTAAATGCGTCTATCCCAATTGTAAATACCCAGAATGGAGACGGGAAGCCTTAAATTTAGAGATATCTGGCAATGCGATCTACGAACTGCATGCTGTGATGCTAAAGGCAAATAAATATTATTGAAGGCTATTAATTTAATAAACAAAAAAACGTGTTAGTTGAGTCACTTTGTTCAAAACATAAATCTATTATTTCTATAACATTAATACAATAATATAAACATTACAATAATAAAAATCTTCTGGATTCTAAGACACAGTTTTTACAACTAGTTTAGAATCCAGGGTTCCATTTATTTGCCTTTTACATTGAGTTATATGTACTACGTACTAGAGAAGCCATTCCGAACATTGACTATGTTCAACTGAACTGTAGTGCAATCCATACAAACTAAATTTTGCGTCAATTGAAGATTTGTGAATTCCATAAAATAATTATTATAACATTTTATTTAGAAATATGTTTGTTTAGATTAAATTAAGATATTTTATATTAAATCCTTATATAAATTTTATATTAATATCTTATTTTATATCAAATTAAAGTCTTCGCGCATGCGCGACTACTACTCCCGCGCATGCGCGAATACATAGAGTAGGACACAATTTTTGTTTGGAATGGCTTCTCTAGTACGTAGTACATATAACTCAATGGCCTTTTAGTAAAGAATTAATTTATTTTATTTATTTATTTAATAATGCCCAAATACTCAAAATATGCTCAATTTTAAAATGCCGTTTATTCTCTTGCTGTCTCAATAACTTTAAGTCAAAGTGATTGTGCCATCACGAGACTTAACGACATCTTAAAATTCGTGGTCCTGACGAGAAATTTCTTACACTTTTTCCCGCTTAGCCCCCATCCGTCAAATTCGTACCGTGCGTAGAACTTCCTTCCAATTAGTTTTATTCAATGTCATGTATTCGTGTAAATATATGAAATAATTATACTCGTATATAGCTAATATAATATAGTTCTGTATAACCACTCAAAATAATTTAAAAAAAAAACTGCGGTTGCCTACCCGCCTGCTAAACCTGGCAACTGTGACAAAATTCTCCCTATAAAGCAAAATACAGAGGTCTATGTTAAGCATTCCACTGCCTAACATAAGCTGTATTGGGGGGATAACAACAAGAGAGTCTATACCTTGATGATATATATGGCTGATTAAAAAGAAAAACAAGAAAACAATGATTAAAGTAATCAATTAGTAGAAAAAATTTATAAGTTGTATTCATTTGAACATTTATCGCACACAAGGGAAATAAGTTCTAATCTTATTTTAATTAATAAAAACCTATCGATTATGTTATCGTTGGAAAACATGATGTATTATTGTAATGACACGAGGAAGCTACAGATTAAGTCCTGCGATAAACATCTACACATTGTTATTGATGCCTGTTTAATAGTTTTCTAATCACTCGTGTACTGATTCCGATATCGATAAGGTATATTGTAATTAGATTGATTGTTTTTCACTTCTTGCCAAGTTTCAACGTAACTTTAATAGCAAGTAATATTTATACGAATACAAAGAAAGGTTATGTTAATAACTGAATAAATTTAAAGTTATAACCTATAACCTATATGTCCAACTGCTTGGCATGGGATTCCTCTCAGTGTTATTATAACATTATGGAATTTATGCATGATAATAACCCCTGGGAATGAGGTGATCGCTACCAAGCTATTTTGAATTTGTTTTGAGTCGTAAATTGTATAATATATATATATATATATTTTTAAATATGATTGTAAACTGTTCTTTTTTCTACCGACTTCAAAAAGGAGACGGTACTTTTTACTGGGTGAACCGAATACGATGATTCTTTTTTATTTGAAAGCTGGTACTTCACATGTGGTCCCATATCATTTTCAAATTTGATCAAGGTCTGGTCATAGTTTTTGAGTTATTCTTAATGATTTATATTGACGTCGGTTGTACAAAAATTTTAATTATTAATTATTTAAATGTCCCGTTTCGATTCTGGCTGGTTCTTCCCTGGACAGAGGTATTTTCCGAACCAGTGGTAAGTTAAATTTTTTATTGTCCCAATGCTTGTTGGTAAACTTCACATGTCTTCAAAATATTTCCTTTTTAATTTCTCAGCCATGCAGGTTTCCTCAAAATGTTTTCCTTCACCGCGGCGGCATGTGGTAAAGCATTTAAAATTGCAATTAACAATTTCATTGGTGCCGGCGGATTCGAACCCGGGTTACTTGCTTACTGTGAAAATAGTATATAGTAATACAGCGAGCGCTTAGCCCTTGACCTACCACGGCTCAGAGATATCACGGCTCATTGAATAAAATTATATTATCATAACTAATTCCGTGTTAAGACGATAACGGATTTCCAATCTACTTGTTTAATTGATAAGATATTATGGTATTCCAGTGAGGGGACCTTACTGCTATCATATATACACTAATACATTATTTTCGTAGATCACGTGTGTTTTAATTAATCAAAATAACCCTTCTTCCAACCTTGAAATGCTGAGCTATTATAGCTTAAGACTCGAGTGATATACGAGTACGATGCACTTAAAAAGCAATTTAAGTTACTATTTAATCATTTTTGCATAAGGAAATTTGTATGTAGACAATTGACAGTATGACAACAAAATAATTGTTCCGTCGTTATATTAAATGTCGTACTGAAACATTGTGAACAGCTAAAATATATAAGTTATTCGTAGGAAGCATACATGAACCATAACTGAACGAAAAGGTTTAGAGGTTATCACACATATGTAACTAAATATAATTGTTTTTACTTATTTTTATCCGATTCCAAAAAAGGAGGAGATTCTCAATTCGTCAAAACTTGAACCGATTTGGAAAACTCTTTTTTTGTTACAATGGTGTTGACGTTCAGATGTCATATTGACTTGGGTTTCCTTCAGCTTTTGTATTTAATTTAGTCCATGTCTAGTATTTGTGTAAATATAAGAAGCCATTGAAAATGTTTAAATTAAATTTAGCGAACAGTTTAACTATGTTCTATATTAAAACATTATATATATATATACATTATATACTATTATCAAATATATATTTCCGCTGGAAAATGAACACGAAGTCGATTCTGTTTGCACGCAGGACGCACTGTGATGTGAGCAGGGTTTTAAAAATTCAAAGTAACAAACGAACTTAAAATCCACCTGATTGTAAATGATATACGTGGTATAGCCACGCTGCACTTATAATATGGTTGTCGCAAGAATGGGTCGGCTCGACCGGGGATGGACCACGCTCTCACAGAATACCAGCGTAAAATAGCAGCTTAATGTTGTTGTGTTTCATACGGTGAGTATAAAGAACCGGAGACCCTTTTTACTGAAAACGAGGTATTCCGTCTTGGTTACAAGGTTAATAAAGTATATGTATTTTGATTCTTGATCGAGGATAAATGTAGATGCCTATAGTTCACACGCATCCACTGACCATCAGGTGGGCTGTGTGCTCGTTTGACACCCATATTCTATACAAAAGTGGCTACTGCAGTTCACGGATACCTGCCACCTACTTCAATCAAAGGACGTTACAGATGCGTTGTCACCTCTATAGACTAAGATAGAATGTCTCACAACCTGTAATTATGTGCTATAGCCAGCTATTGCACGCCTAATAACGCGAAGCATTATTAGGTAGTGTATTTCTCTCGACACATCAAGGTCAAGCAATTTGGTGTTCTAAAAGTTCCTCTTTCATAACCATATTGCACTTTACGATAATATGGGTAGCCGTATATCAAGAAAACACTCTAATTAATCTCTAAAATCATTTGATATTGGTACTTTGAAAAAAAAAACGGTTTGAAATAAATTTTACGAGTACGTCCGGATGTTGATTTTGTAAATGGTCACAATAACTCACGAAACAATTGACGTATCGAGACCGGATTTTTTATTAGCTTTAGAATTACATCAAATGCTTCTCTATTTCATATCAATAGCCTAGTACGCGCAGTTTGTTAATAAAATTATTTTCAACCTTTATAAGTTTTATTGCTATTAAAATCTAAAGGCGCTTTCATATTTTTTTAGCCCTTGATAGACAAAGGATAAATATACGATACAGCCTATATCGATTTTATACTTTGTGTGATTGATTTATTTTGGTAAACATTTAATTCAAAATTTAAAATTAATTAATTTAAATTTTTCTCCTCTGTAAGTGACACTACCTGTTAAAATAATAGAGCGCTAAATTTAAAACACGTAAATAATATATTTTGAATGTCAGAAATACAATTTGTTTTTTTTTTCATCAAAATTAAATAAAACGCTCATGAGGTGTGCACTTTTAGATTTTCCAAACTATTTTTACTCTTCAGGCTGGAATACAGCAAGTACTGCTATTTGACGGCATAAATAGGTAAGAGGTTTGTAACTACGAGTACCTACCTAGAGTTCAGTTAATTTTAAATGTGTCTAACTTTGGATCAGAACTAAAATTAGCTTGGGAGTTTTAAAGATAAATTATTTTTATAATTATAATAATAAATTAATGTAGAATCTCTAGACTACGTGTAATAATGGTTTTTTATATTTTGAATCGCCATTCGCAGATCTAGTGTCAAGATACTTGATAATAAGATATTTTTAAGATATTATTAAAACTTATAACGCAAAAACACTATTTACTGCAACATGGTTGTGGATAACTTATATTACTTTTTGATTAGTAGCGTGGCTAGGTCGCTATATCGCAAACTCGATCCCTGTAAGCACCAATCAAATTATTAACAGCAATTTTAAGTGCTTACTTACGATGTGCTCGGCGGTGAAGGAAAATATACCCTTGAAATCAGCATGTTTAAAAAGTAAAAAAAGTATCGAAGACATCTATATAGTATATATAGACCGATTTTTCTTATGAGCCGCGTCTACGTGCTGTTTTCGAGAGTCATTACGAATCGTCTCGCGCGCAGACTTGACGACTTTCAGCCTCCCGAGCAAGCCGGTTTTATGAAAGGGCTTTAGCATCATAGACCACATATATACCCTTCGGCAAATTGTACAGAAGTCCGAAGAGTACAATTTGCCACTATGTCTGGCGTATGTGGACTATGAGAAAGCCTTTGATTCCGTCGAAATTTGGACGGTGCTGCAGTCCCTTCAGCGGTGCCAAGTTGACTGTCGGTATATCGAAGTGCTGAAGTGTTTGTACAGTAGAGCTACGATGGCTATCCGAGTACAGAACCAGAGTACGAAACCTATCCGATTGCAGAGAGGTGTGAGACAGGGTGACGTTATATCCCCGAAACTCTTCACTGCTGCATTGGAAGACTGTAAACACTGTATATATCCTTATTTCATTACTCTATATAATAATAATAGCTGTGACCAGCAGTTGGTCGCATACGACTTAAGTTTCGAGCAAACAGACCACCTGATGGTAAGTGGATGCTGTAGCCCATAGACATCTACATCTATCCTCGATAAAATATCAAAATACAGATGAGTTATCACCCTAAAGAACAATGTTGAAATGTCTCATTTCCAGTAAAAAGGGTTTCCGGTTCTCTACACTCACCATACAAAAAATAGCAGCACTGAGGTTTTGTTTTAAGCTGGTATTATGCTCGCTTAGGCTAATCTTTAATTTTTTACTTACCTAAGACATGAGCTCTTTTAAGTAACTCTTCGAAGTCTTCCATAGTTCCATATTCATGGTGAATATCGTAAAAGTTGCTAATGTCGTATCCAAAATCCACCATCGGAGATTCGAAGATCGGTGACATCCATATTGCGTCAACACCGGCGTCCACAAAGTGTTCCAGTTCACTGATAATTCCTGCAATTATGAAAATGACTGTGTTTTGCGCTCAAGCACTCTGTCATAATAATCATGATGATGGAGAATAATTATTACGTTTATATTGTTAAGTATAAATATTATTGCATTCAATTCTTTATAGAAATTACGGTGACAAGCACACAGAGTTTTACGTGCTACGATCAATACTGCAGCTATATAATAGGTCCCTTTTTTATAGAAAAAGGGTGATAAACGGCACACAGTTCACCTGATGGTAAGTTGATGCTATGGTTCATAGCCTTTTTACAAATAGACAGCTATTTATCGTCGATTAAGAGATAAAATGCAAAATGGTGAGTGTAGAGAACCGGAGACCCTTTTTACTGTAAACAAACCATTCCATCTTAGTCCTCAGGGGTGACAACGCATCCGAATTTTGTTTTTTAATTGAGGATAGATGTAGATGTCTATGGGCCATACCATTCACAGGTGGACTGTGTGCTCGTTTTTCACCCTTATTCTATAAAAAAAAGATAGTACTCCTGCGTTAATGATCCTGACTAAGAAAACTTGTAATGTACGTGCCCAATAAAAGTGCGTGCTCAGTAAAAAGAGTTTCCGGTTCTCGACACTCACCATGCGAAATTAATCCAAGTGGACTCTCTGCTCGTTTGGCAGCTTCACTTCTATTTAAAAATAATTAGAATACGAATAGAGTAAGTATTTTTTCAACGCCAGTGTTTTATGTCACAAAGCCTGTCAGAACGATACCGTTTATGTTTATTGTTGGCTTATAATCGTATTTTTATATACGCACACATATATTTGTTTGTATTATATACGCATATGTTTATTTAAGTAATTATAATTAGTTGTTAATTTTTGGCCCGATCTACTTGGCTTACAGTAAATATATTGAAGTCTTGCAGTAGTATGCGTAGGTTTGGATTTAATTTTATTTATTATGGGATCCCAAGCAGATGGTAGCACCATGGGTCGTACCAAAAATTAATAATTTAAAGTCGAAGGTATCCTTTGTCAACTATGATATCTGATTACGTTACGTTCAATCAAAATTCACGTTGGGAATTAAAACAAAAATTAAACACGATAAAATCTAGTTTGGTTCTAGGATTATAGTGCCCAAGTGTATCCGCACAGGTGCACTCACTCTTTTTTCACTCTTATAGTCCTATGTGAAGGTGACCCGATACGACCGGAGAGAGATCAGGTTCTGGACATTCGGCTTTACGTGTTGTCCGAGGTACGGGGGTGACTGCGGGCTGCTGCTGAGGATTACTTGATAGAAAACTCTAAAATCTGATTTTGTACCAACCCGGGATTTGAACACAGCACCTCATGATAAACAACCGCGTAATATTGTATATTTAATTATGAATATTTTAAAAATTAGTATACAAGAAGTTTAAAGAGTATACTACCTTTTAAATCACCTATGCCATCGCCGTCACTGTCCTTGAAGGATCTGGGGTAAATCTGGTAGAGCACACAATGTTTCCACCAGTCCAGTGGTAGTAGCTCTGGTGGTGGCGGTGGAGTGTCCCGCGCCGACAGTACCGCGAACGTAATACCAACTAAAACAAGTAATTTAGTATATAACAGTTATAATTATATGACATCGTAGTAGCTTAGTAATGAGTTGCAGCACTGAGGACCGTGGATTCTAATTCCGCACGGAATAATTATATTTATGATCTACAAATTAAATTTATGAATGTACACAGATACAGTTGAAAATCCTAGTCTGGGGCTAATATTTTGTAAAAAAAAAAACATAACATAACAAATTTTCCATGCTAAGGGCGTAGCATATTTTATTTAGGATTCGGGGTAAATATGTAAATACTGTCTCGATATTGTCTTGATATTTCGGGCTGCTCGGGCACCTTCCCTAGATCATTACCTGATTCGATTAAAATAATTTAAATATAACAAGCAAACGCTACTTTTATTGTTAGAATATTTTACTTTACTTACATAAAGTAATTTCAACCAAAGTTACTTGTATGAAATCTCTACTTTACGAATATTAATGTTAAGTAATACCTGTGTGTACGAGAGTAAATAATATTCGTACTTCAATGTATTTCTTTTACGTCACTAACAGAATATGACGATGTTCACTGTCGTATAGTAGTGACGTAGGAGCATCCACTGCCTCATATCAAGATGATGTAGGAGTAGTTAGAAATGAAACTAATATGGACGAGATAATTTTCACGATAACAAATCTTCTTTTTCTTTTAAATTATGGCTTCGGCGATAGAATTCTGCCAGTGTTAAGTTAGTGATAACAAATTAAAATTAATATCAAAAACTATAGTTGTCAACGTGCCTGTCAAACGTGGCAAATATGGAAAACCCTCTATGATGCAATCCTTCAGCAGTGGACTGCTGTTAAGGTGTAATGATGATGATGATAATGATGTTGTTAATATTATAAAATGTTACACTTTGAAACATTTTATTTATTTTTTGTTTAGTTTAATACCCAACGCATTAGCAGATTTAAGCCTGGATAGATTTTGAATAGATTTAAAAAAGAAGGTTCACTATTCGATTGTATTTACAAATTTTAATGTATTTAATATAATATTAAGGTTTTCTTTTACACACAGTTAACCGATTACGCCAATGTTTTATATCGAAAGAGTATCTATGGTGTAACGGTGACACCAAGTAAATGTACTCCCGATCTTAAAAATGTAGTTGGTTTAATTTTTTCATACAATCTAATTTAAAATAAATCTCCGTATTGTTGAATGAAATTGAAAACTGAACAACGTGACTTTGAGTTGGAGTGAATTAAGAATGATTCCTTACTTGCGATTCCGCCTAATACGGCCAGAGCTGCGATCGTGATTGCGGCTGCCTTCAATGCTGTGCTCATTGTGACTGTCTGGCTACGATTCGCGGGCGTCTGAGTTATTATTTATCAAGGATTACCTACCAACATCCGCTATCATGTCTGCTATCATTCTATTTTTGCAGTATTGTTGGGGTATTCGTTATGGCCATTTGCGTCTACAAAGTATTTGTAGAAGATGAGCTCTACATTCTAATTAGAACGTCAAAATTTGCAACATGCAAGGCTTATTAGAGTCAGTTATGATATAGAATTAAAAAGGCTTATTTTTATAGAATAAGGGTGACACTCGAGCACACAGCCTACTTGATAGTAAGTGAATCTACTGGCCTATAGACATCTATATCTATCCTCGATTAAAAATCAAAATGCAGATACGCTGTCATCCCTGAGGACTAAGATGAAATGCCTTGTATACAGTGAAAAGGGTCTCCAGTTCTCTACACTCACCATACGAAATACAGCAGAATTAAGCTGCTATTTCAGGATGGTGTACTGTGAGAGCGTGGTCCTTCCCCGGTATCATATAATTTCAAGCATTGCGAAGATTCATGGGCACTCAGCATTCACCTATTCTCACTATCATCACGATCACTACAGCTCATCATAAGTCCACTGTTGAACATAGGGCTCCCTCAAAGTTTGCCACAAAGTACAGAATCTTTCTTCCCCATCGGTTGTCGGTTGTTAGATCTATACGCCCGTTCTGTAGAGAAAGAGACTTCAGCTTACTGATCCGCGGTATATATCAATGGTTCTTGTTTTTCTGCAGACATATTCTTTACGGATTTTATTCTGCCGAGATATTCCGAGCATAGCTCATTCCATTTCACTGTGAGTGACTTCGATATTCCTCATTCGAGTTATTGATTGTCAATGTCTGCAATTGTTCTAATTTTTTCTCACAATAAACATTGCGTCTAGTGTGACGTGTTACTTTACTAGTTGCTGATAAAGAATAATAGATTTATTATAATATAGAACAACAACGTTTAGATTGCCACGGCTACGTCTGGTATACAGGCCTACGTTTCACTTACACTGAGGTTTACACTTAGTGTACGCCATACTACGTATCATAATACTATGTAGATGAGCCATAATGAGTGTAGCCATAATAAGTGAATGATATTAGAATAAGAATTAATTTATTGTAATTAACAATATTAGATATTTTTATATAATACCAGCTGGCTAGGACGTTAATCTGTCCTTTCCGATGACATTAAGTCCTATAAAAATGTTTTAAGTCGTAATAAAAAAATTGAATCTCAACTTGGAGCAAACTGCACACAGTGTGCAAAATTTCTTTGAAATCAATTCACTAGTAGAATAGTTCATCACGGACAAACAATGTGACACGTATTTTTTACATAACTACACGAGAATATGTGAAAAATTAAAAGCGCGTTATTCTAATTAATATACGAATTTAAACATTAAATGTTGTATGTGCCATTTTAATTGTTTTAATCACACAAACAATTTTAATCGTTCTTGGAAATAGACATATTTTTTTAATCTAAATATCCTACATATTATTAATATCCGTGGATAAGTGGAGTGGATTTTTATGGTATTGAGATAAGAATACTACAACAGTGTAGGTACTTTAAAACATTTTCCTTACAATCTTAAATCAAATTTTAGATGATTAATTGATTACGCGTCGGGCCCACTCGTGTTTGCAATTTTGCGCGGATCCCGCGAAAGCGTGTAAGAAGAAAATTGATTTCCCCCGGAGTTTTTTCACGGGACGCATTAATCACGCACAAGGTCCGAGGGTTAATTAATCACTCGAGAGGCCCGCAAGCCTGGGGGCTGTCGATACCACGGCCTCGGTTGACCGCGACCCCATTTACAAAGGAATTAGGTGATACGCTACGTAATCGAAATATTCGACGATCCTATCGGAATTCGGCGGTACGTGAGAGAAATATGAAAGGTGTTCTTGTACATATATGAAGCTATTATACGTACATATGTGTATTATAAGTAAGCCAAAGGCTTTGGCGTACGTTTACGTAATAAGGAACATTGTCAGTTAATCATGTGGGCGGATCCTGAAAGTTAATATTGGCTTTGAAGATAATTATATATTGTTCAAAGGTTTGTCCATTGTATTCTGATATACGATTTTATGAGAATTATGAAATAATTTCCTTTGAAATAAGTAATAGTTTATTACAAAACGATGGTACTCGAGTGCGATTACTGTAAAAACAATATATCTTTTACGTATATGGTGGTATCCTCTAGAGTTCAGTTTTGAGGATTTTAAGTGAGCGTTTTCGAGGCGTTGCGGATGTGCGAAGTGGCTGTGAAGGGTTACGTGGTTGCCCTTATGTAACAGATACTAAACTAACCTACTCCCTATATTAACGTGTAAATGTTACATTGAGCACGGGCATTTAGGTCGGGTGAGTGTATCTGGGTGTTCCACGGGATAATATGGAATGATGGATTCTTTTACTCCGCCACCACACGGACTTTGTATTAAAGTTTATTAATTAGTAACGTACGCCTCAAGGCATTAAGTTCACTTTGTGGCTAAGTCAATGGTAGCTTACAAAATAAGATAATTTAAAATAAAAAAAATTACAGCCGACTTCAATATAAGTAATTAAGAATAACTCAAAAACTATTAGTTTGATCGTGATAAAATTCATACGGGGGACCACGGGAAAAATACCAGCTTTAAAATAATAAAAGAATCATCACACATAAAAAAACTATACAGTCGAAATTGAGTACCGTCTCTTGTTTGGAAGTCGGCAGAAAAACATGAATAAACATTGTATTTAAAGGAGAAACCGTAGTAGTTCAGAAGCTAAGCGCTCGCTCCAAATATGACAGTACGCGAGCCGGGATGGGTTTGATCCCTGCCTCGTCTTTAAATATTAACTTGTGAGCAGCACAAAATAAATAAATTTTGATTCTTTATCGAGGATAGATTTATAGATTTTCTTTTAAATAACGTTACCCCCACACTAGGATCGTGTATCGTGGAGGCAGTTTACAAACCTAGATTGCACGAGGACAAACATCCAGAACCGGAAAAATAATAGTAGGCCATACAAATACTTGTTCCGTGCGGGATTTGAACCCGCGGCACCCAGCGCAACAACTCATTGCTAAGCCACTGCGCCACGGAGACGTCAATCATATGCTACAGCAACCACTTACCATCAGGTAGACTGTATGCTCGATAGTCACCCTTATTCTATAAAAAAGCTCACAAAAACCATCGTTAAGATTTTTAAAGCTAATTAATAAAAGTTTAATTACATCGAGACGTATCGACTTCGCCGAGAACGGAATAAATTGCCGTAGCCCAATGAAACCTAAATGTTTTCATGTCTCTTGCACTTAACGCTACCCGAGCTGGAATTTTAATTGTGAACTCGTGGTTGCTTATACGACGTCTGGATTTTAAATTTCCTTTGCCTTTCCTAGCTTAGCTCATTTGAGGAATGTGTGGCGCCCGCTCCACTAAATGTTCCAATAATTTTTCAATGTTTCGCGTTTATTTTTCATTCTTGAAAACTAATTAAATAACGTGTTCGTTTATAAGGCATTTCTTTGAGCCAGTAAGATTTTAATATTGGCGATTGTATATTAAACTAGATGGTACCCGGCGCGTTCCTGCCGTAGAAGGAATAATTGTGGAATTATCGTTTTAAATTTGGAAGAGTTATATAGTTTAATTAGGAATTATAATAAATTTATTAAATGGAATGATATTTAACTCAACTAGTCACATGACTAGGAGCGCATGATTACAAAGGGGCGCGCGCGGTAGTTTACTAAAAATAAGTTAGTACCTACTCATATAAAATTAAACATTCAGACTTTCTATAGAGATGTAGAGATTCCGAAGCGCGCCCCGTCTACATGATTACTCCTACATCGCCCTCGATCTCTTATCACATTTTCCTCCTTGCCCATTATAAATAATTATATTATAGTTAATTTGCAAAAACGTAGTTATAACTTATAATATAAGGAAGCCAGAGGGGCGCTGATGAGATGCTCGCGTAGGGTACTATCGGCTTTTAATCCGCCTCTGATAGTACTATGTTTCTAACCTTCGCGCAATTGCAAGCAATAAGTTGATAAAATTTATACTGCAATTTGTTAAACAGTATGGCAGCGCATAAAGTACGAACTAACGAACATTTTTTTTAATTTTAGATTTGATTGAGTATCATAAAAATAAAACCGAGCCATAAAAACCACAAGAGCCGTGTTAGCGTAGAATTTAAGCGCATTCTTTTAATCCCTTGCTCTCGACCGACGAAAAATCACCAGCATAAGGCTACTGTGCTCCTTATAGTGACGAGAACTGGTGGCCCTTTTTACTGGCAATGAAGCATTCCATAGGGAATAGATGAAAAGTGTCCGGTATAGGGAGACAATATCAAGCTTAAACTTTGAGTTTGCATTACTAGAGTCAAAATTTGAAATTGATCATTACCGGTCCATGAGTTAAAGTATCAACTTACTATCCGTTGGACTGTGTATGACTAACCAAAAAAAAAATATTATTTTCCTCCATTCATAATATAATAATTATTAAAACTCAAAAGAAGAAAAACACCAAAAAATAAGTCTTACAAAAGACACGAAAATCATCTTTAACAAATCAAAACAAACCACAGATAAAATACGAAACGTACGATCAAGCGTAACGTTAGAATAACCACAGGCGGTATAAAAAAGGCGGAAAAAAAGAGAGCGGGCGGCCGTTTTAGGCTACGGAGTACTACGAGCTACGAGCTACGGCGATGGCTACGCGGGCCGGGTTGAATGACCCAGTGGTATAATGGAACGGGTCGATATCCTCATCCCCCTCTCCTCCCTGAGATCGCGTAGGCTCGCCCCCTCTTCACGGATGGCCCGTGGGTGTAACCGATCTCTTGTAAATATTTCCTTTAAGCAGGCAGTGAACGGTTAAACGTAATATTAGTCTCACTGCGCTTGGCTCGCTTTGGAATCTACATCTACTTATACGAGAACAGACA